AAATCGGCTCAAACACGTTGTGCCCGTTTTCGTTATATCTTAAAAATCATTTGAGCTACAGAGTCAGTTTTCCTATCATTGGATAGAGAAGCAATTAGAATCCCGATTGAGTTTCTGAAACATAATTGAGGAAACGATAGCAGTTTTTATGCAAAAAGTTTGCTCCACACTGGTGGATTCAAACATTAAATGGCACATTTGCGAAGTCAAACGTCGTTTGGGAAATGTTTTAAGCAACATTTTAAGAAAATTCTTAGTTTTTGCCCGGTCTTTTTTTCCAAGCCAATTGTTTCTCATCATTTCTGTTAAAGTTACTAGCAAATACTTAAAGAAATCGGATATTCAAGCGTACATTGGCTAATTGTGGGTTTGTAGAAGGCTTTTCACTTTATATCTTCGCGAGGGGCAGAAATGCGTTGATTTGTTCTCCCAGTCTTAAAACTTTTCCAATTTGAATTTTTGGGGCCACAAATACAAATGCCGTAAAATGAGTAAAATAAAATAATAAATAAATAACCGATCCCGGACAGAAACGCGAGCAATAAAATATGATTTCAGCATTTTCATTTACTCACCGGAGCAGACTATTATAGCGAACTCCCGAATGTTTTCCAGAAGTCGGCAGATTTATTTCTCAATGGAATTTCCGACTTTTAATAAACGCGTTTCAGCATTGCCAGAGAATCTATAAATTAATTCGTGCACCGACACTGCCGCATAATGGGCTCGTGTGTGCCCGAACCACTCGACCAGAAATACGGACTTCGATGGCTCTGGATGAGGACAGAGAGGCGCTAAAATCTGGAGAAACTATGTCAAATGTTACACCTGACGCTACCGCTTGCCATTGCTGAATGCCAATTATTCCGAATTGTTTCGATTTTATTTGCGCGATTAATACAAGTCGTGTATTGTATAAGGGGGACCTACATGTAGATAGGTGTTGATGATCAGCATAATCATTATACCTTTTGAAGCTCATAAACCAAGGTTTTTTTATGGAAAATATTACTTTTTAGACACTTAAAGCTGACCAGAAGACAATAACGGCATTAGATGGTGTAAACTGCAGGCTGACACCTCATGAAATCTCTGAGGGGTTAAATTTTCATTATTATTTGAACCCCCAGGTTTAATCGCAAACTCGACATTTGGGTTCCTCAGGTTCCGTAGGACGGAAATTTCTTGGTTTTGTAACGGGGAGGCGAAATAATACAATATTACATACTAAATATCATTGTGATCCTCTCTATCCTTTTTCAACCACTTTCCACTGATCAAACATTAAATTGCCATTTAATATGTGATTATTCAATTGGGATTAGTTTAGTTGAGTTAATTTTCTAATTGCATAGGCCACTAATTTTTTCTCTTTCATTTCGCACTGTTAGAAAAACACAGCGGCAATTAATTAAACAAAATTTTAAACCCGAGTTAATTAACTATCCAGGCAAATTGGTCCATATAATGTGTGGAACTCATTATCTTGAGCGCAATTAAAACTGCACGTTGACGTGCACCGAAATTTTAACGAGATAAATATCCGATTTCAGCAGAAAGAACGAATAACGATGAAAAACGGCGCAGGCAATATCGAAAATCAGAATAGAATATACCGAAGGACTGCATTTTAGCATGACGTATATATCAAAAATGTGTTAACATGGAAAATGATTTAACGAAGCGAAGTTTCACCTGTTGCTTGCTTTACGTTCTAAATATAAAAATATTTGCTGTTAATAGTTTTTACCGATTAAAACCATTTTCCTCATCCTCTTCCCACTTGATTCATTGATTTACTTAAACTGAAATATTGGCTACAAAAAAGCGACCCAGTCACTAGTGGTAGTTTATCAAAGTCGTTTTATTCCGAACACGCGCCCCACTATATAAGATTTTTCATTAAAACTTCTTAACTCGACTCGAAGAGGGAGAGTCCAAATACAAATTTGTATCCAGAAGGCATAAAAATTCCCCACTTATGTACGCTGATAATGCGATTATAAATAAAACGCTTTGAATGGGCGAGTAAGTGAGTTTTTCGCAAACGTCTCGGGCACCGAATAAGATGGATGAGTGCTTAAATACGGAGGATTCTTGTCAGCGAAATGAGAACGTTTGCTGCAGACCTGTAGGACTTAATTGAAAAAAAGGATGGGATTTGAATCATTTTGAAAATTTCCCATACTGAGATTTTCATTTCTTATGGGAAAGTTGTTGATCGCCACTTGTTGAAAGCAGAAATTGAAACAGCAAAAACACAGTGGAAGCAATTAAGAATTATTCAAACTGCAATAAAACAATCTTCTATGTCTTCCAATTCCTGAATATGCTTGGATACAGCCACCCGTGTACCTTGTGGATTTTTATTATCTGGAAATGTGGCTTAAGAAACTCTTCTCAACTTTCCCCAGTTTCATTCTAGATTACTATTTTTCTCACTAATACAAGAATTTCATTTTAGGTCCTGTCTCAACAGCTTGAGATTCAACAAAGAAACAAAAGTGTTTTTTGGAAGTATATTTTAGATTCCGGACAAATGTTTCCGTTGAATTGCGTTTTTTATTCGCTGAACTCAAAATATATAGTCTGTTTGTGCGCGCAGCGTTTCCATCTCGGATACACAAAAATTAATGTATCTATCTAATGAGCAAAGTTCTTCTTCAGATGTTTCACCGTCTTCACATTCTGAAGGGTCGCCCTTTAAAAATCCTCCAACAAATTTCTTCTTATTTTGGGCTTCAGGAATGGGTTGGTTTCTTCTATTTTCTTAACTTGACTGACCAGAACTAGCTGTTCCTTTAGAGCAGTTAGGCAGTGCTTTCATGTCCTTTTTTGAAAGCAGTATTATGCTTTTTCTACACCTACAAAGAGAACTTTTTCGTTTTATAAATGGGGGAAGTTTCAAAGAAAACTCTGTTCAGCTGCAATTAAGAAGATTATTAGAAATTTTGTTGTTGATGAAGATCCTAAGTGAAAACGCTCAATTTTCTCCTCAACTAGATCAGAGGGAGAATGAGGAGTCTCCACCTGGAACGAGCACAGTTTGTTTAATAAATACGGAAAAGTTTGAAAAACTTCCTCATCAGGATCAATTGGAAGTAGTTTTTGAAAACTTATTTCCGCATATAAGACCGGCAAAAGAAAGCAACAACCCTACTTTCCGACAAAATTTCCAGTCAAGTTCAATTGGAAGCATTTTTGAGAATTTGTTCCCGCATGTAAGACAGGCAAAATGACAAACCCCTATTTGTTCTAAACTAGAGCATGTAAAGCTATGAAAGTTGCTGGGCCAGAAAGAGCACACTTCCTGTCATGGATGTGAAAAGTTTCGAATAGAACCATCTTCAGATTCAATTAGAGGGATTTTTTGAAACTTTGCTCATCCACCATGAATACGCAAAATAAAAAAGTTCCATTTTCTTCAAAACTAGAGCAGACAAATAATTGCGGATCACCTAGCTGAAAAGAGCACACTTTCTGTTATAAGCGGGAAAACTTTTGAAAATCTCCTTTCTCAGGTTTAAACACGAGAATTTTTTGAAAGCGTATTTTCGCATCAAGGACAGGCAACAGAGAAACACTCCATTTTTTCTTGAACTCGAGCTGATAAAACAATGAGGGTCACCGAACTAGAAAGAGGTCTTTTCCTTTAATAAGTGCTGAAAATCTCGAAAAATTCTTTCCTTAGGTTTATTTGGGAGGATTTTTTGAAATTTTTCTTATGCTCCATGAAGTAACAACGGAAAAAAATATTTTCTTTTTAAAGTAGAGCAGATAGAGCTGAGAAAGTTACTGGAATCGAAAGATCAAGCTCATAAGGGTGGAAAGCAAGAAAGATCGCTCCATAAGGGTGGAAAATTTCGAAAATATCCCCCAAAAGTTCATTTTCAGTTTGGACAATGAAGCAAGTGAATATGATTATATAATGTCAGGGAATTGAATGGAACTCTGGAACATTCACAATTAATTCCTTTATTCGATTTTATATTTTATGAATTATTGCTCATTAAGTTTATTTTAATTATCTCGCCTGTTCCCTATTCAAGTTTAGTGCGGAGGACTTTTTTAATATCTTGTAAGATAATGATTAATGTAGGTTTGTCCAATTTTTTTACAAATTTTACAATGAATTTCCCAGCAAATTTCACGGTGAATTTCGTAAATAACAGAACAAAATATAAACCGCATACATTTTTACAATCTTCAGCGCTTCTCTCAGTGATGTACAAATTAAAGTTACCAGTGAAGTAATCTATACATGCGGGTTGATTAAAAAACTGAAAAAAAGTTCTAAAGTTGTTGTTTATTATAAGGTTTTCACTTTATTGGAATTTTTATGGGCTACTTTTTTCCCTTCAAAGTTCAAGTTTCTGCACTAGAAAACGACGTACATGTAGGTTTCTTTTGGTCATTCAGTATATTAAATGGCTTAGGGCTTAGAGTTTATAAGTCAGTTGGAAATATCGAATAATTTCTCAGCTTGGAATCCTTTGAAGAATGATATTTTGAGTCTCACAGCAAAATAGTTAGCTCATGTATCAATTTCCTTTTTCCCAGTCCTTCTTGTTTTATAACTTCACTTTGCTTATGTACTAGTTTTTTCTGTTTGGATAATTCGGAAATCTTCATTCAAAGTAACCAAAGATCTCGGATTTGCACAAAGCATTTAATTCAGGTATTTCATAAAACCGTTTTCCACAAAAAAATGTTGTTTTGTACTCAAATCCTTTAATCTAGTTCTCCAGAGCGACTAATGCGACTTGAAACGTTTACTGTGCTTTTTGAACTCTGTTTTTCCTCTCACTCCTCTTGCTGTAATTCCTACCATTTTTTTTTCGTCACACTAGGGAAAATCACTTTATTTAATGAAACGTTGATATTAAGACAGCAAAATTGAATCTTCAACTGTTAAACTCATCCGGAAATAAGCGGCAAACACAAAATAAAGAACTCGCTGGAAGTGAATAAGAAATATAATTTTTTTTCGTTTGTTTCAGGCTGTTGCTTTGTAACATTCTTCACCCGCAAAGCCGCCCTGCTGGCTCAAGATGCTTTGCACAATGTGCACACTCTAAACGGGGTAAGTCAGCAGGTTTTTTTTTTATTTAGCTCTGGGACAATTTGAGATTGCCAGGAAAGTAATCAGCGCTAGCTAAATAAAATCAATGCACGCTAATAAGCGGCCCTTCAATTAGCCTGCCATTCACTTCAAAGATACTTCCGAAGGCAGTGTAGAAGAAAAATTAATTTTCATTTGCCCGAACTAATTAGATGCCGTTCCATCGGTCGCTATGAGAAAAAATTGCATCAGCAACTATCGTTTAATTAGCGCTGTCTGGACGTTGGAGGTTTAGCTTTAGTGGGCTTCTGAAGTGTCCCAGTGAAACGACTGTGACTTTTCCTACAGTCGCTTGTTGTTTTGTGGCTTTGCAATTGCTAAATTTCGTTCCGGATCCATCAGGGAAAAAGACGAAGGCCCCCCCAGAAACAATTTGAAGGTGTTTCCATTACCTGAATATCATTATTCATTTCTGTGGCCCTCTTTTGTGCTCCCCTAAGGTTGACAGTTACGAGACGACGCGAAACCACGCAACGTCTGCTCCAGGAATCCAGGATAACATATCGTGCATATCCCTACGATGTATCTTCCAGAAATGAGTTCGTACTTTTGTCCGCAACAATATGCCCTAACGAGGTCTCGGATCAGGATTTTTCCCTTCGGATCGCTCCTGGTATGCAAGTGGCTCAACTCCATGGAATTTTAATTCGCAATTTAACTGCCTGGATACAACAAGTTGCTTGCATAAAGCCGTCACTGTTGGCAAACATGCACAATTGAGGCGGGACATATTTTTTTCTCGCCCGGGGATTTTAAATAAAAAATACGCTCATAAGAATGAAAAATGGCAAAAACAAGGTCCCTTTACGACAACGCTCCGCAACAATATAAATCAGGAGCACACCATGGCAAAGTGGTTCCTAATAAAGCGGGATATGATGAAAAACGACGTTCTCATAAAGCGAAGATTTTTATTAAAAGACCTCTTTGCCGGGACCCTTCCCCTGCTCCCAATATTTATTAGCGTATCGTTTCTATTTTCGAAAATTTCAATAAGACTTTGAGTGGCTTTCTTAATCAAGGAACAATATTTCTTTGGGGGACGGGACCGTTGACGGAAAATTCAGTGAATATGCTTATATGCCGGGGAATTGAATGGGAACTTGGACCATTCGTATTGATTTTCTTAATTAAATATGTCTCATTATATTCACTTTAACATATCTCCTTTCATTCGTCTGTCTTGATCTTCAAAGGTTTTTTCACAATTTGGAAACGAGTGSGTTCCTCTGTATTTTGTCAATTTGAACTTTTTTCAGTCGATATTTCGATGGCCTTTACGTGCTTAATCGGTCCATAGTTTCGTTTCATTATCTTTCCAATTCTTTGATTTTTCTTTGACGTCATTGGGAACTGGCAACGAAAGTTCCCATTACTTACGTATTTTGTTATCGTTTAAGTTGATGCTTCTAGTTTTATTTGTTTCATCGATTTGCAATTTTTTCTTATTTGTTTTTGCGTCGTGTCGGCATCGGGTTTTCAATCATTTTCATTTGATTTTTTCAAAATAGCAGGTTTTTGTGTATAAAAGCATATAAGCGGATAGTTTCAAAGGAATAGAATTATTTGTCTGGTTCAATTAGGGATTTTTTTGGGAAAAGGGAAAAACAACAACGATTTGTTCTTGAACTAGCGAAGGTAAACTAATGGGGGGTGCTGGGCTGTAAAGAACACCGATTCTCTTATAAGTGCGGCAATTTTTTTTACTTTGTCAAAATTTGCTCTCGAATAGAATGAGCGCACTTTCTGTTACATCTGACGAAAGTCTCTCCTCAGGCTTAATTAGCAAGCTTTTTCTAAAAATGCAAGAAGGGGTATTCTTTGAAGCTTTTCTCATGTCTCATGGGCTGGCAAAAGTGAAAATTCTTCTGCAGGTTCAATTAAGAGAATTTATTGAAAGTTTTCACTGATACTACGAACACACAAAGTAAAAATGTCCAGTTTTTTCCGACACCCTAAACACCCTGAACTGACAAAATTAAAATTATTTTGCAGCAATTCGCGTCACTGGTTTGTAAAAAGCACACTGTCTTTTATAAGTTTCCAAAGTTTCGAAAAAATCCCTCTTCAGGTTCATATAGTAGGATTTTTTAAGTATTTGTTTCCGACTCAGAGGCAGTCAAAGGGGAAACGCCCTATTTTTTCTTGATTTAGAGCAGAGAGATTAATGCGGGTTACTAGAATAGAAAGAAGACACTTCCCTTTATAACTGCCTAAAGTTTTGAAAAAAATCCCTCCTCGGACTCAATTTAGACCCCTTTTTTTTCGGAAACATTCAGTGAATATGCTCATATCGTGTCGTTTTTTTTATTTCTTTAATATATTTGCCTATCTATAGAAATTGCGCACACCAAATATCAACCCTCAAATCGCAATATTTAATTTTCTAGTTTCTATTTTCGAAAATTTCAATAAGACTTTGAGTGGCTTTCTTAATCAAGGAACAATATTTCTTTGGGGGATGGAATCGTTGACGGAAAATTCAGTGAATATGCTCATATGCCGGGGAATTCAATGGGAACTTGGACCATTTGTATTGATTTTCTTAATTAAATATGTCTCATTATATTCACTTTAACATATCTCCTTTAATTCGTCTGTCTTGATCTTCAAAGGTTTTTTCACAATTTGGAAACGAGTGCGTTCCTCTGTATTTTGTCAATTTGAACTTTTTTCAGTCGATATTTCGATGGCCTTTACGTGCTTAATCGGTCCATAGTTTCCTTTCATTATCTTTCCAATTCTTTGATTTTTCTTTGACGTCATTTTGAACTGGCATCGAAAGTTCCCATTACTTACGTATTTTGTTATCGTTTAAGTTGATGCTTCTAGTTTTATTTGTTTCATCGGTTTACTATTTTTTTCTTATTTGTTTTTGCGTCGGGTTTTCAATCATTTTCATTTAATTTTTTCAAAATAGCAGGTTTTCGTGTATAAAAGCATATAAGCGGATAGTTTCAAAGGAATAGAATTATTTGTCTGGTTCAATTAGGGATTTTTTTGGGAAAAGGGGAAAACAACAACGATTTGTTCTTGAACTAGCGAAGATAAGCTAATGGGGGGTGCTGGGCTGTAAAGAACACCGATTCTCTTATAAGTGCGGCAATTTTTTTTTACTTTGTCAAAATTTGCTCTCGAATAGAATGAGCACATTTTCTGTTACATCTGACGAAAGTCTCTCCTCAGGCTTAATTAGGAGGCTTTTTCTAAAAATGCAAGAGGGGGTATTTTTTGAAGCTTTTCTCATGTCTCATGGGCTGGCAAAAGTGAAAATTCTTCTGCAGGTTCAATTAAGAGAATTTATTGAAAGTTTTCACTTGTACTACGAACACACAAAGTAAAAATGTCCAGTTTTTTCCGACACCCTAACCACCCTGAACTGACAAAATTAAAATTATTTTGCAGCAATTCGCGTCACTGGTTTGTAAAAAGCACACTGTCTTTTATAAATTTCCAAAGTTTCGAAAAAATTCCTCTTCAGGTTCAAATAGTACGATTTGTTAAGTATTTGTGCCCGACTCAGAGGCAGTCAAAGGGGAAACAGCCTATTTTTTCTTGATTTATAATCTTAGATAGATTAATGCGAGTTACTAGACTAGAAAGAAGACACTTTATAACTGCCTAAAGTTTTGAAAAAAATCCCTCCTCAGCCTCAATTTAGACGACATTTTTTTCGGAAACATTCAGTGAATATGCTCATATCGTGTCAGGCAATTGCATCGTAACCTGGAATATCATTGATTTTCTTAATTCTATTTTTTCTTTTAATAATTATTATTCAGTAAGTTTATTAATTTACTTATTACTCATTATATATCCAGTTAGTCTGAACATTAGGAACATTTTTATGAATGGTGGTTTCTGAAAGAAACTTGAGAAAAATCTAAAAATATTGACTGCTTTTGTTTGCAGCATATTAGTTGGTTTATTGCCTTTGTGTGTTTAATTCAACCCATATTTTATTTGATTATCTCGCCTTTTGTTCGACTTTTTGTTCCCGTTCCATTGGTTGTATTTTGTTTTATTTGATTGGTATGCTTGTTTTTTATTGGTTCCCGCCTCGTTTTGGAAACGATTTTCAGCAAATGCGTGAAGGGATAAGAGTCCATGTTACCAAATATTAAAGAAAGCCGAAATATGAGTAAGTTAAAAAATCTTGTGCATCAATGGATGACCCTGATGCTTCTACTTTTTTCAACGTTTATTTTTGGTAATTTCATTTTCTTGTTTTGCCTTTGTTTTGTTGTAATTTATAATAATCTTGTATTTTCCAAACTTTTAAACTTTGATGCAAAATACGCCAAATTAAAAAAATCGTTGTTATTTTTCGATTTATGAATTTAGCCAATTACCCTGTGGCCCTGTTAAATGCGGAACTTCCAGCATCGGGCAAAAGAATTCCATGCCTTATTCAGACAAATTGCACACCCAGTTCAAACCCAACCGAGGCAGGAGGGAAAAAATGAAAACTTTAATAGCCGAGCTTTGAGTCTGGGCCCTCAACGGCCGCCAGAAAACAGTTTTTCCGGCTTACTTCGGAGTTCGGCTTTTAATGGAGCCAAATCCCACTTCGTCAACAATGACATCCGAATTAATGGAGAAACGCCGAGTCGGCAAATCCATGCGCAATTTGCCAAAAGCCATGTCGGCCTTAATTTTTCATATATTTTTTGCCGTTGCCGGATTATAAAGGAACCACACGATCGGCCGAGCCAATCCTTTTTATTCGACAATCCCGACGAGCGGCTTTTGATTTGATGACTTGTAAGATCTGGGGCGGCTTAAAGCTCTAAGTGAAAAGTTTAGACGACTTATGCGGCCAGCAAAAACCCTTTGATGGTTTGATCTTTTTCGAATTGTTAAACTTGATGTTGGGACTCTTTGGGAGGTCGAATCGTGGTGCAAACAGTCTCTGCCCAATTTTCTACCAGTTGGCGTACGGAAGGCGCACGATACAAGCG